AGATAAAATTAGGAGAGGAGAAGCCGTGGCCGAATTAGAGGCCCGAATATAAAGAGGTGAAATGGACCTTAAATTGTTGGGTTTTCGGGTAGTGAGGTCTTGGAGACCTATGTCTACCAAACCTGTGTTCATAAGTCGAGTGAACACGTGAGTGTCTCAGTATGTTATACGAACGCCTGTAGTCTTAGGAATAAGCTTCCTGAACTAGGAGTGTTGTCTGAAGAATTACAACCTGATGTGATTGCTTACACCGAAACATGGTTGTGAGTGAGTGTAGACCTAACTCCACTCATACCTGGGTTCATCTGCATTACAGCAGATAGAGTGATTAGTCGGGAAGGTGGGGGCGCTCTGTACATCCTGTATGACATAGGAATTAGATCAACGTTGTCGGAAGCTCACGACAGCGGCACCAGTGAAGCTGCAAGCTGCGTCATTAACTTGAACAAGGACACGGTGACAATTAGGGTTACTTATAGAAGTCCTTCTAGCCAAGCTGACGACTTCGTTCTAAATCACTTCAGGACGTGGAGTAGTAGGAATAGGTGTCTAGTAGTAGGTGACTTTAATGCCATTCATATTAATTGGGAATAATTAACTTCAACTACTTCGTACATTTGTTTCAACAGGGAACTCTTACTGACAGTGCTTGAATGTGCACTTGTGCAGCATATAGATGCACCTTTGAAAATATACCATTCGGTCAGCCTATTGCTGAGATGCGACCACGTGGGCTCTGCGCAGATTTATGGGGCATCTTATAAATTAACATGCTTTCCTTTGTCGTATCTTCGAATATCACTTAACAATATCTCATCTCATTCATTTTCTAATAACGTCTTCACTTGCTCCTCATTATATTCCACTAAACCTAACATTTCATAGCTCTTTATGAATTTGATTCGACTTATTTCATTCCTATTCTCTATAGGGTACGGTTGTGCACCAAACACAAAAAGGTATGAAATGAAAACAACCGGCTTGTGGATAGTTGTATTAAAACCAAAAGTGGACATCATGATAGTAAGACCTATATGGGTAGCATTATACATCGCAAATGAACTTTGTCAGCCTAGGGATTATGAATGCATTTATTAATGATAAATTGCATTTACCTATTTCATTACACTTTAATGATTCACCTTAGCACCTTTACTTTTCTAAAACAGCTTACTATCCCTTGTAAACGTTGTACTTACCTCAATATTGGTTGATTATCGTATGCCTACAACTACGGGTTGAAAACGAAATGAAGTCGATTTTCCTGCGCAACCTGGAGGACTACTGTTTAATTCAATAATGATACGACATGGCGGTTCAAACATTAATAACTTGTAGACAATCTACTATTTGACATCATATCATACTTGATCGTGCCTATAAAAATGGCATGCATTTTCATGTAAATTTATGTTTATGTGAAAATATAAATTATCATTATTATACCAGTACGATACCACCCTGAACATGATCGGTCCACTCTAGACTTGGTGCTAGCACACCAGAAGAGTATGTCGGTAACATAAGGTACCTGGCCGCTAGGCAGTAGTGACCATACAGTTCAAGCTGTGATACATAGGTGAAAAGCTGCTCGTCCAAATGTTTGGAAAGTGAATATACCTGCAATCGGAAATGCAGCAACCCTAGAGGACTGGTCTGTTAATACACACCAAACCGTCGAGGAGGCTTGGATGGGATTTAGGAATACACTAGATGACGTCACTGCACCTCCTGTACCTTGATCTACGCCTCAAAAACTATCGCGCAAACCACCTTGGATTATTAATGAATTTCGGGGTTGCTGTGACTGGGAGGGATGAGTTTCGGATGGAATGCCGCGAAATTCGAAACCTTTGTAAGCACAAGATTGACAGAAGTCTTATAGAATATGAGAGACAGTTAATACTGGATTGTGTGCATTATCCAAAAAGACTGCACTCGTATATCAAACGCAAGACTAAAACTAGCAGGGGTACACCGTCCCTATTTAGCAATTCTGGAGAGGCAGCCGAGTCAGACGAAATAAAAGCTGAAAAGCTCTCAGAATACTTATGCGATGTTTCCTCGCCTAATCGTACCACTCACGGGTGGGGCGAGGTCACTGATGTAGCCACCAAAATGCCCACAATTGTGGTATAGGATGCAGTGGTTCTCAAACTGCTGTCTAAGCTGAAACCAGGTAAATCACCTGGACCTAACGGACTTCGTCCCAGACTGCTGGATATAATATACATCCCACTTACGGAGATTTTTCAAATGTCTCTGACCCAGGCTAGGTTACTCAGGGACTGGAAAGATGCTTTTGTAAGTTCCATCTTCAAAGGGGGGGACAGGCAATTGGTATTTAACTACAGACCGGTAAGTCTGACCTGCATTATAGCAAAGGTGTTAGAAAAACTCATAAGGGATCAGCTCTTAGCTCATAAAGAAAAACATGGCTTACTGGCAGTGGAGCACCATGGATTCCGATCAAGACGATCCTGCTTGACAAACTAACTGTTAGCTAGGGAAGACTGGGTCGAAGCTAGGGATAAGAACCACCTACTGGACGTTGTTTTTATCGATATTAGTGAAGGATTCGATGAGGTATCCCATTTAGGTCTTCCTAGTAAACTTAAACGTTTTGGATTAGACCAACGCTTATGTGAGTGGTTTAACGACTACCTGATGCATAGAAGGTAGAAGGTAATGGTTAATGGTGCACTGTCAGGGTGGAAAGCAGTACTAAGTGGAGTACCTCAGGGTACTGTACTTGGCCCCCCACTATTTCTATTATACGTAAATGAAGCGCCAAATATTCTTACCTCATCTTCCTTACTGTTTGCGGACGATATTAAGATATGGAAAACCGTACATTGTAACGATGATAGGTTGGTACTACAAAACGATCTAGATAAATGAGCCGAATGGTCTTACCTTTGGAGTCTGGAAATTAATTCCAAGAAAGGTGCGGTAATGCACCTAGATCAGGAGTCTTATACGTCATAGTCCCTAGGGGACACAGAACTGCCAGATGTTAGGGGACAAAAAGACTTAGAAATTAGTGTAAGCCATGACCTAAAAACAACTGCGAATTGTAATGGAGCAGCAGCTAAGGCTTTTCGAGTGCTATGGACACTTCGATGGGCTTTCAAACGATTAGACGAGGGTATGTTCCAAGTACTCTATGCAACATATGTCAGGCTTCATCTGGAATACTGCATACAAGCGGTGAGTTCAATCTTCGAAAAGGAGACACATATCCTGGAAAAAGTACACAGGGTAGGAACCAAATTAGTTAGTGGTATGTCACACCTTCCTTATGATAAGAGGGTGGAGCATTTAATTCTCTTTCTATTATCATACCGAAGGAGGAGAGGTGACTTAATTTTGACTTACCTTATATTCAAGGGTGATTTAGGGATTTACCTTTGAAACCTTTTCTCTCCCTTTAGGATACATTAACGAAGTCACCACCAGAAGGTGCTCAAACCGAGGTCGAATGAAATACGTATGGGATTTAGATTCTCTCACAGAGTGGTCAAAGATTGGAACTCATACCTGATTCAGTAGTAGCAGATTCATCGGTGAACGCTTTCAAAGAGAAATTAGATCTCTGCAGAGATATTTGTCGAAAACACTAACATAGGCAACAAGAGCCTATATTTTTATAATCTGAATCTGAATGCACCACTCCTATGGAGTCAACGAAATCTATGAAAATCAAGTGGATGAACCAAAGTCAACCGTATCCGATCATCGTGGCACACCTCGGCATCATGGGTTGCTCAGGGTTCTACCTTAGGGCCGTTGATGTTTTTAATTTTCATCAACGACCTGCCCTGTCAACTGAACTGCTCTGCGCTTCTTTACGCTGACGACGTAAAAATTTGGAGAGCAATAAACTCATCGGAAGACTCCGACAGATTGCAGACTGACCTGCAAACTCTGGGAGACTGGGCTCTGGCAAACGGAATGCCTTTCAACCTAAAGAAGTAAAAAGTAGTGTAACTTCATTCCGGCAGGTCACAGAGTGTAAATTACACCCTTGGTGGCCAGAACTTGAGTTGTGTGCCATCAGAACGCGATCTAGGTCTTATTTTAACAGAAAAGCTAGACACCAGTGTAAATTACACGAGGGACGTCGCCAAAGTCTACGCAACTTTACACTTTATGCATAGGCACCTGGGAGCTCTTACTCCCGAACTATTCTTAAGGTTGTATACGACATACGTGAGGTCACTCCTTGAGGTGCATAATATCATTGCACCTCCGCTACTCAAAAGGGATGGTAACATTCTAGAAAGTGTCCAGAGACGAGCGAAAAAATGGGTTATCGGTCTCCGCAACAAATCATATAAGGAAAGACTGAAGAAATTAAGTCTTTTCACACTTAGTTACCGTAGTCACAGGGGGGGACCTCATCACCGTCTATAATATCTTAAATGACCAGGCCCACCCTAATAAAAGCATCTTGCCATTAAGTGATTATAGGCTTCCACGAGGTAACCCGCTAAGGATAGCACACCAGAGACCAAAGACTCGAGTGCGTTCACACTTCTTTTCGCTTCGAGTTTGCCGTCTCTGGAACGCTTTACTGGCGGCAGTGACTACAGCGCCATCTGTGGAGACTTTTAAGCAGAAGCTGGACAATCATGCAGAAATGCAAGGTTTGTGTCTCAGTGGCTTATCCTCTTAAAATTTGAAACCATACTGTCAATGGATAAGCACACAAGTTAAATCCCCACGACCTGTCCTGTCTTCTCTAACTGTATCAACTACTCTATCTTTTCCTTCGGTCACCTTTATTATTTCACTTATCTCAACCTATATTATCTACACTACAACCTATTAGTATTACTATTCTGCCTTTATGACTAAACCGAATGACCAACGGGAGTTACGTCAAACTCCCTTCACGGCAGCAACTCAGTCCTAACATACTGCACACTACAAACCACATTTTGACCAATCCCCGCACCACTCCTCCTGGAGTCTACTAGAGCTAAAGCAGTCGGGTGGCGGGACTTACTACGCATAAGTTCGCTGAAGATCTAGAACCTCTACCTTACAACCAAGAAGCGAGCATAAAGAAATCAATTTGGTTTAAACTAGTCCGGGAAAACATATTGAATATCGGATACCTGGGATTTGGGCGGCGCGAAGGAGATTACAAATCTTACGTTTATGTAATTAAGAGATAGAAAATAACGTGATTACGGCTGTTTCAGTTGGTTTACTTCGGCTTTAGTGAAGAATTACTATGATTACTTACGCAAAATGCCATAATATAGCTCCTGCAAACCTTTCAATACTCAACTGCTACCGATGAAGTTAAGGATAATCATGTGCACATTCTTATGAGAACGGGTTAACCACCAGCGACATGCTTTGATGTACTTATGAAGACAAATTTAAACTCAGTAGCAATCCTTATTGTCTGAAGGGATGGGGAGAAGTGAGTTATTTATTCCAGTTATTCTTTGTTGTTGTTCAAATCAGTGTGCTTGTACAAGCACAATTCACGTTCATCTTAAAATTGGTTTCTAAAACATTTGCTGTGACTACACACTATTGGTGTAGTAATAAAGTTACCGAATTTGGGTACTTAGGGCAAATGTCACTGAGTTGTCTTTCTGCCTTTCTCTCACCTTTTAGATGTCGCAAGCTCAGATAAAACGGTTTATGAAATGAGCAGATAACTGATTAGGTTTTTTCGTTCCACTATTACTATACTGCCTTGTCAATGAGAGGTTATATACTTACGCAGGACTGTAGTGGTGTCGAAACAGAGGTTTCTTTGCTGGAACTATTGTGCAGTAGTAGTGCATACAATTAAAATGAACACATTTTGTAGAGATATTTATCGGGTGACCAACATTGATGTTTACGTATTTTTGCGTATGGATGTGTGGTGGGTGGTTATTTGTTCCCATCTGCTTAAACCGTGGAAATCTTACGTATTTTTCATGGAAGAGGAATAGTGTCCATCAGGTTTCTTGTAAATGAAAAAAAATACTACAAAGCACTGGGTTTTAGGGATTTTCATAGATTTCAATGTAGATTTCGTCACGAACTAACATTAGTAAGAGGATTATTGGAAAACCAGGAAGCACCGGAAAGTCCTTTTGTCCTAGTGTGGGAATCTTCACTAGTTCGCACCCGCAACTCCTCCAAGGATCGAACCAGGAGCCTTCAAATCTATGTCCCTGTTAGAAAGTCAGTAATATTTATGGCGTCTTATTGACTTCAGATAAATTGAATCAAATAGAAAATTCAGTTTTTCCCATGAACTTATTTCCTTTCCTCTATGATGATTCGAGGTGCATGTGAAGCTTTGAGAATAGTGCTTTATTTAAGCACTGTATCTTCTCAACGCCTTGACACATACACAAAAATGATTTTCACTGAGAGGACTAGGCCTATTTAAATAAGTGAAATCACTTTATTTCTTCTGCATCTCGATTAATACACTAAAATTGCCTAAATTTGTTTTCCAGGCCCAGCGACAACAATAACAAGGAATGAAGAGAGAGGAGTGAAATCAGACAAAGTGACTCCCAACGTTTGTATGTTGAATGAAACTGTGCAGCAAACTGCCGTAGTTGTGGCATCGTAAGTTTAAAATATTAGACTCACATTCTGGAATTTAGTGTATTTAGTATTGGATTTACATGTTGTTAAGTCACTAGACGTTTTTTATTTCAACGTTATGTAAAAAATAGTTAAAGTATGCTTTAAGTTAAATAATGAAATTTGAGTTACAATCAACCTTCATTACTGTGATATCAATGTTCGAAAATCTACTGTACTCAATGTAAGGAATAAGATCCTGATTCTCAACGCTCATTTCAAGCCAGTTAGCGTTTCCGTATGGTTCAGAGACATGTCGCATCACGAAAAGCCGTCCCAAAGGGCTACTGCAGACTTTCATCAGCGGCTTTCTTCTCTAGCTCAATAGTAGGGTGTGTGTACTGCTCAGCAGTCCGCTCCGTCCTCTTCTATGTTTGTGAGACCTGGCCATTGACAGTGGAGAATGAAAAGCCTGACTAGCTGTTTTTGATCATAGGGGCCTGTGTTCTACCTACATCGACTGAGATGGTTAGGACGTGTGTTACGCATGCCTGTCTAGCCATCGACTTCCTCGACGGGAAATGTTAGCTGACATAGAATGGATCAGGTTGGAAAAGAGCCAGTGGTGGTCAAACCAAAACATGGCTTCATCAGTCAGTGAAATCCACAACAGTTAGTTTAAGCCAGCCAGCCACGTAGGAAGGTGTAGACTTCCTGACTGGTTGGGATCCTCGGGACGGTAAACACCAATGGCTGGAGACAATTGGTGATATGGCTCGAAATCGTTGTCACTGGCTGGTGCAGATGCATCCACTCCTTGTGACTTATAATTTCCAATAAAACTATATTGTTATTCGATGTTGCTATTCTTTCTGCCTCAAATCTCTGTTTAATGTCTCTATTTTGCATTTGCTTTTACTTTCTTCTCTTGTTTTGTGTGGTACATGGAGTGTGGCGACTGGAACTTCTGCACATCGGTGCAAGGTTCTATGTTGAAACCAGTCAATCAGCTCAGTGTTTAAAATCAGGTAGCTAACCAGAAAGGTTAAGCAACAAGGGACTCTGGCGGCGAACTAATCAGTAACATAATGTACAACACATATGCAGGAGGAAATAGGAATGGATTGTACATTTACTAAGGTGACCGCTGAGTGACATCATGGGCCAGGTAGACCGTCGTTTGGAACTGGAGTCGAAAGCGATGACTTGGGCATTACGTCGACGGTGATATGCAGCAGATCTTGTGAGGAGGAAGTAACAGCTTACGCATAATCGTAACAGGGTGACAGGGAACAAAGTGGATTGGAGATGTGCTGCCGAGACACTACGTTCCATTTGGATTCCAAGTATATAATAATCATCTATCATGCAGTTCTTTAGTTATCACCTTACTCATCACTCAAAACTTAATGTTTTTTAAATAATTTCTTTGGAATAGAATTAAAGATTCTCTTTATAGAATACTTCCCTCTGCCTATTAATGTTGTATGTTGCTTGTAAGATTACGAAATAACAAGCCTTGTAAGGTTGGGATTTGTGTTTATGCTGTATACTAGAATAACAGAACTAACATTATGTTTATGTATATTTTAAGCATTGTTATGTAATCGGCTTATTATTACATAAATGAGCAGTGACTTTTCAGAAAATTCTTGACTATTTTGGCTTCAGCCGTATAGTGAGGTATAAATTGTCCAACATGATAGGTTTGATGGTACATGTTCTTCATGTATAAAAATTACCACCAGTTCTCTGTCTCCATTGTTATCGACTTTGTAACTTGTCTCAGTGTTGGACTAATAGGTAAGAAATCGTCAGTACTACAGATTAGATACTTGAGTTGTAAAGTTTTGCATTATCAGATGTGGTTCATTGTAATAACAGGTAATATTTTCAATAGGTTACCCAAAAACTTGTTTTCTACACACCAGCTAGGAAAAAAAACACGTAAAATGCAGCCTCCCGACCTGATGTGTTTTCAAGCGTTAGTTTGATTTCGAAGTTCTCTCGCTACATGACTTCAGTTAAAACAAACTACTGAAAACTAGGGAGTACTGGCCGGCTGACTGACTGGTTTCAACATAGAACCTTGCACCGATGTGCAGAAGTTCCAGTCGCCACACTCCATGTACCACACAAAACAAGAGAAGAAAGTAAAAGCAAATGCAAAATAGAGACATTAAACAGAGATTTGAGGCAGAAAGAATAGCAACATCGAATAACAATATAGTTATATTGGAAAGTATAGGTCACAAGGAGTGGATGCATCTGCACCAGACAGTGACAATGATTTCGAGCCATATCACCAATTGTCTCCAGCCATTGGTGTTTACCGTCCCGAGGATCCCAACCAGTCAGGAAGTCTACACCTTCCTACGTGGTTTGCTGGCTTAAACTAACTGTTGTTGATTTCACTGACTGATGAAGCCATGTTTTGGTTTGACCACCACTGGCTATTTTCCAACCTCATCCATTCTATGTCAGCTAACATTTCCCGTCGAGGAAGTCGATGGCTCGACAGGCATGCGTAACACATGTTCTAACCATCTCTGTTGATGTAACTTCACAGTCTCGTTTATTGATTGATTCTCCTTACCTAGCACTCAATTGATGCCTAACCTCAATATTGTTCACCCTGTTGTACCACTTCACATGGGAGATAGAACGCAGCCCCCTATGATCAAAGACAGCTAGCCAGGCTTTTCATGTCCTCTACTTTTAATGGCCATGCCTCGTTCTCAGCCATAAAGGAGGACGGGGCGGAATGATGAGCAGTACACATGTCCTTTGGTCGTTGCTGAATATCAGTTCTACGCCGGAGACGGCATGAAATGGCATATGCGAAACGAGCCTCCTGTATCCATGCTGAGACGTAGTCAGTGATTAACTTGTTTGGATTGATGCAACTTCACTTATTCGGGAAGTTGCATCAACCCAAACGGGAGTACTGGACAGCTGTTTGGTACTAGTTGGGCAGTTTTTAGTACTTGAAAATTATTCTCATGGTCACTAGCGACTGACAACAGGATGGAGTTGCTCTAAGTGCAGGTAGAAAGTCGTGAGTGGTGGGGTCCAATTAGTTGAGTGTGAGAATAAATGCTCGCTGATGACATTGCCAGGTGGTTGCACTATATACATAGCAAATTAACGGAAGTTAGAAGTCGGCGGTCACGAAGGCTGAATGGTCAATAAGTTGACCTCGAAACCTAAAGGTTACGGGTTCGATCCTCTCTGGAATCACAGGTGCGTCGGTGGCACAGTGGTTAGGACTCTCGCCGACCATGCTCATGGTCCGGGTTTCGGTCCCCTGCCGATACACACCTGATATCTATGGTCGGCCTGCAAAATTTGGGCCACCGATATCACATGCTGTAAATTCCATACCTGTATCAAAAAATACGGTGTGGAATCAAGCTGTAATGAAAAAAAGTAAGAAAATAAGGAGTACTCACTAGTTTCCAACTGTTCTCTACCTGAGGTTAGTCTATGATTAAACTTGATATAATTTTGAGCACCTTTTTTCCGTTATCAGCATTCAGTCAGTTGGTTTATCAGTTGATGGACACAATTAACTTAATGGATGCTGTATGCGTAAGATTAACATGCAGTTGCCGTTTGGTAGTAAGTAGTTAATCCCACAGATTCCTTAACTTGACACCGAATTCCGAAAATCTCTCCAAAGTCTTCCATTGTATCAAGACCCGATTTTCATTTCAAATTATCTGTAACACGTATCCTAGCAATTTTCTATTAGTGTGATGAGTGTGGATGACTCACATAACTCCTCATTAATCTTTTCTCCTTGTCTCCTGTTCTTTTGTCATTCCAGAACTGTCCAAGAAGCGCTGAATCACTTCTTCACAAAATGTACCTTTCGGAGAGATTCATATCAGGTTGAGAAAATGGTCAATTGAAGAAACGAATAAAACGTTCGTTTTCTAATCCCTTTGACGTTTATCATGATTATTATCTTTGCATCTTTTTTAATAGTTTACTTCCTTTCGTTGATTTTTTAAGGAAAATTAGAGTTTTTTATTATTATTGTTATTTTTATTACTATTACTATTTTTATTTATTGTTTATCGCGTCCTCATCCCTTTCATCGAGTTCGCTTTTAAGAAGAATAAGACTATTAGATTATGTTGTATTAATATGATACTGATAATGACTATTATTATTATTCATTTGGTTTAATATTATGTTTCTATTGTTGCCTTTATACCTTTATTATTATTATGATATTTTTTTATGATATTTATGATACTACTGTGTTAATAAAGCATTCATAGATTATCTTATTTGAGTCATATTCACTTCAGTTTACAGTATGGAGAGATACATGCTAAGGGGGGGGGTGAAGTAATCGGTTTGATTTATGAAACAGCTGTGGTGTGGGGGTGGGGGGGAAGGACTGTTCAGTATTTGTGAAGGTGGATTTGCTCTTAGCTGATTGTATATCATAGCCGGTGGTTTGATGATAGTAAATACCCATGGTCGGTGTTCAAAGGGTTAGAACACCACGCGCTTCCACAACTACCTCGTCTTTACATTGTGGTCCTCGACATACTACTGCATTCGATAGATAGGTGCTTCTTTATTGTTGATTAACCCGTTAACTGACTGGTAATGTGTAGATTCTCCATGAGCAGTGCCTACTTCAACCTGTCGGGAAGACTTATGATGGGCTAATTATTCAGCTGTCTTTCAGAAGTAGCTTAATGCAAGTTCGCCGATGTATACCACTTAGGTTTGTTAACTAAGCTTATTCAACTGAGTTGACAATCCGGGAATACTTGAACTAACCAGGTTCATCCATCTAAGCAGTGACTATTAAGGAATTACAATATAAAACTAATTCGCAGGGTGTTTACAATGAGACATGAAATTTATTCCATTTGGAATCAGAATGACAAAACTGTAATGAATTCAGAAGTAGGATAACAGGTTGAAGTAATGCGAAGTATTGTATAATTGCGTAACAACCATAAAAGTCTGTATTTGTTGAATGGGATAGAGTGGGAGTTATCACTCTATCATTACACACTTTGTTAGTTTGTGGGCCTTGACAGTGAGGATATGAATTCTACGTACATTCAGAAAGAGTTCCTTAAACTGTTCTGTACACTGAATCCAAATGCAGCATACAGTGACCTTTAAACTATCTGTTAATTGCCAGTAGGGTACCTTAAGACTACAAAGTAGATACTTTCCAGCACCAAAAGTGTTCAGTCCATCTATATATGTGAAATGATAGTAATAATAATGTTGATAACTACAATTATAAGATAATTCAAATAATATCTCCATAATTTTTACAAACAGAAGATAAAAGAGCCTTTTATGTAGCTAATTATATAGTAAGTTTCATGCTTAACTCTATCTCACAGAATGCGGATCAAATAGGGTATCGTTGTGTTTTTGTACTTAGCTGTGCGAGCGAGCCTATAATCTCTTATAATGACTTCTAGTCTTGCCTGAATAGATTCATTGGAAGGGGGGAGTAGTTGTGAATAGAAAGAAAGGGTTAAAACAATTAGTCCCTTTGATAAATTTCAATAAGGCATTTAGAAGACAAATTTCACGAGATGATACCATCATTTCGTAGTTTCTTTACAACCGCTTTAAAACTAACATGGTTAACAATAATAAAATAAGATAATGCATGACAATTACTCAGTTATATAAAACAAAAGTACATACTGAAGGCCAATCATATTTAAATAGGTCAAGTAGTCAGTTCATGGTAGGCGAAGGTTGAAGTCTATTGTTCTTTGTCCACATAGTTTAGGCTATATGTGATTAATCCAAAGTGCTTCCATCACCTTCAATAACCTTGAATTAGAGTTATGTGAAATAATTGTAAAACAGTCATTAATATTGATTTTGTGACCTGACATTAATAAGTGTTTTGCAATGGATGACGCTGGATTTCTATTCAGATTACTGGCATTGGGATTTTCTATATGATTTAGTAGCCATTTTGGAGCATGTTTTTTCGACGACCACATTGGAACATTCTGTTGGTTCTACCTATATAGGTGTCACCGCAACAGCAGGTGAATTTGTAGATACAGTTTGAAGTAGAGTCCACATAATTTCGTCCTTTAATCGTAGGTACAGGGATAGAAAATGTTCGGCACGTGAGAAAAAGAGATGCGGAGTAGAATGTGCGTTTGATGGCTGACCGAAATCTTTGAGCTGTCAACTGTATAATCTCACATGAGTAACCCAAGAAGGACTTAGTGGAGGAAGCAATAAAGAAGAATAGGTAAGATACAAGAGTTAACAAGCCATAAAAGTAGGTGTTGAGTGAAACGTGTCTGTCTTAACTTCTTTATGTAGAAGGTTAGACGGAACATTTCCTTAGAAGTCGACAAAATATTGCATGACCAAGAAAAGTCCGAGGATAGAACTATCCCAAGGTATTTCATCTCTGACTTAGTTCCTATTTCTCTGACCTCTGTGTCACAAGCTTCATGTGAACGAACCAATTCGTGTAGATCAAGTTAACGCCTGAAGATGAAGTTCTTTGTCTTTGTAATGGTGAAGTGGAAGTAGAGATAACTGTTCACAGCCCATAATAAGGTGACTAAGCCACGTAGTGTTAGTAGATTCTGAAATAAGTAAGGCATGTTAAATGTCTAGACAACGACATTGTTTTCTGTAGACTCTTGAATATTAACTATAAACCCATCTACATTGTCGTTGGAGAAGTTTGTCTCATTGTTGAAACTGGTCTAATTCTCAGACAGATGCTAACAGCACGTAGGTCATCCACACAGGGAATATCTTAAAGTAGTGTGTGACTTATGAATCAGTCTGTATTTTTTGACGGGAGAGAGTGGAAGTTATCGTTCTGTCATTACACACATTTTAGCTTGTGGGCCTTGACAGACAAGAGGTCCCTAAACTGTTCTCTACACTGAATCCAAATCCAGCATACGGGGACCTTTAAACTATCTGTCAATTGCCGGTAGAGTACCTTAAGACCACAAAGTAGATACTTTCCAGCACCAAAAGTGTTCAATTCATCCATATATCTTGTGTGATAATAATAATAGTAATGATTTGCTTCATTTCAAAACACTACTGATAATACGTCGTGAAATTCTCAGCATTTGTCCAATATTTCATCTAATTCACTCAACAACAAAACAAACAGACTTATTTTACAGGGTATAGGTAACCAAAACTGATAATCACAACTACTTGGTGTTGGGAGAAACAAAAAAGTCATAAATTTACAAAAAACATGCGAAAGGATAGTAATAATAATGTTAATTACCACAATTATAAGATATTGTCCGGAAAGACGACGAAAGCTTCGCGACTAAACCAACCAGGTCAGAGAACACTTTTAATTGCAAATTTAATTAGTGTCTCCATAATTTACAAACTGAAGATAGAGGAGCCATTTATTTAGCTAATTACATAGTAAGTTTCACGCTTGACACTATCTCTATCTCACAGAATGCGGATCAAATAGGGTATCGTTGTGTTTTTGTACTTAGTTGTGCGAGCGAGCCTATAATCTCTTATAATGACTTCTAGTCTTGCCTGAATAGATTCATTGGAAGGGGGGAGTAGTTGTGAATAGAAAGAAAGGGTTAAAACAATTAGTCCCTTTGATAAATTTCAATAAGGCATTTAGAAGACAAATTTCACGAGATGATACCATCATTTCGTAGTTTCTTTACAACCGTTTTAAAACTAACATGGTTAACAATAATAAAATAAGATAAAGTGCATGACAATTACTCAGTTATATAAAACAAAAGTACATACTGAAGGCCAATCATATCTAAATACGTCAAGTAGTCAGTTCATGGTGGGCGAAGGTTGAAGTCTATTGTTCTTTGTCCACATAGTTTAGGCTATATGTGATTAATCCAAAGTGCTTCCATCACCTTCAATAACCTTTAATTAGAGTTATGTGAAATAATTGTAAAACAGTCATTAATATTGATTTTGTGACCTGACATTAATAAGTGTTTTGCAATGGATGACGCTGGATTTCTATTCAGATTACTGGCATTGGGATTTTCTATATGATTTAGTAGCCATTTTGGAGCATGTTCTTTTCTACGACCTCATTGGAACATTCTATTGGTTCTACCTATATAGTGTGTGTCACCACAACTGCAGGTGAACTTGTATATACAGTTTGAAGTAGAGTCCATAGAATTTTTTTCTTTAATCGTAGGTACAGGGATCGAAAATGTTCGGTATGTGAAGGAAAGAGATGCAGCGTAGAATGTGCGTTTGATGGCTGACTGAAGTCTTTGAGCTGTCAACTGTATAATCTCACATGAGTTCAGATGTCTGTCGACTACAATAGTATTTAATGGACTGACTTAGTGACACTCTACTTGCCCTAACAACAACAACCTTTAATACCCTTCGCAATATGACATAATCCTTTTTAAGTAACCCAGGAAGGACTTAGGGGAGGAATCAGTAAAGAAGAATAGGTAACGAAGTATAAAAGTAGGCGTTTAGTGATACGTGATTGTCTTAACTTCTTAATGTAGAAGGTTAGACGGAACATTTTCTTAGAAGTCGACAAAATATTGGATGACCAATAAACGTCCGACGGTAGAACTATCCCAAGGTATTTCATCTCTGACTTAGTTCCTATTTCTGTGTCAAAAGCTTCATGTGAACGAACCAGTTCGTGTAGATCACGTTAACGCCTGAAGATGAAGTTGTTTGTCTTTGTAACAGTGAAGTGGAAGTTGACATACTTGTTCACGGCCCATAATAAGGTGACTAAGCCACGTAGTGTTAGTAGATTCTGAAATAAGTAAGGCATGTTAAATGTCTAGACAACGACATTGTTTTCTGTAGACTCTTGAATATTAACTATAAACCCATGTACATTATCTTTGGAGAAGTTTGTCTCAGACAAATGCCAACAGCACTTTGGTCATCCACATAGAGAATATCTTAAAGTAGTGTGTGATTTATGAATCTGAGAGGGAGAGAGATTTCTGTTCCCTTCACTGTCAAAGTAGGCTTACAACGAATGAATTCAAACTGTTTGCAGTTGTTTTTATTATCAAATTTCTTGAATAGCATTGTCTGTTTGTCTGTTTTCGACATAGAACTTTGCACATATGTGCGGCAGTTCAAGTCGCCACACTCCCTCTTTGTAGCACACAAAGCA